GCACACTCACATTGGCGACCTTTGTTTAGTCACGAGGCGTTAAACATCGGCGATAATCGCGCGCGATATTCGTCCCGATGTGAACAAGCCTTAAGAGTTAATAAATTAGGATTGATTCCGTTTATATTGAGGTCTGTTTTCTAGTGGATGAATATTTTGGCAAGCCTTTGCCCCAGCTGGCTCTACAGACGAGCCACAGCTGATCCATACCCATATTTATGTCCTTGGTTTATCTAATATCTAACTGAGGGCCAAGATATTGGCAGCACAACCTGTACACCACTGATGCACCGCCGCCGGCCACCATGGTCCAGATGCGTCCTCTGGGATTCAGCAGGGTGAGTTTCAGACTGGCGCCACTCTTAGCATCAAGATCTGCTATGTATGCTTCCTGTACACAAAACAACAACAAAGCAAATCTGAGCCAGAGAACACCTGCTCTCTGGTATTTGTGTGCAATGGCATGACATTTGTCCACTTGTACCTCAGGATAAGCTTCTCTGCCAAACGGAGGAGGAAACTCCACATCACCCCACTTGGGCTTGCAGATATAGTCTGCAGTAGCATCAATTTTGGCTGCCATATCCAAGATGTACACTCCTTCCTTAGTGACCACTGCATATATGGACACAGAAAATAACGCATGATTGGCATTCTGTTATTACCATCCTGTTTAAGTTTTAGTACCAGTTTAGAGTTTTCTCCTTTAAGTACTCACTTTTCTCTTTTTATTCAGTACCAGTTTATAAGATTTAGTGTGAGATTTACTAAACAGGGTAAATTAGCATGAGCGCAATCCCAAAAATGCCCTGATGGGAGTGGAAAGTTCTGCAGCACTTCTACTGACAGAAGTTCTACTGACAATGCACATATTAAAAGACACAGATGCAGCTAGATCATTTCTGTAATGGCCAAAAGAGCAGCGCAAATTAATGTAGGGTCACAAACAAGCAGCCGGTGATAATCAGGAGCATGTGATCTACTAACAACACAGACACAAAATGGGTTAAGACATGGTTCTTGGATGTTAAATTATGGCGCAAAAACAGTAAATTGACTAGCACAAACCTTAGTAAATCACCTAGCGTGATTTATATAAATACCCAGTTATAAAGTTATATTCTATTGGATTTTATCCTATCTGTTTTATCACCTACAAATGGAAAACCATTAAGTCTGACCACCTAGAAAAGAAACAACACAAGTCTGCTCAATTTGCCTCATGATATGAAGTATCATTCATGTTCATAGCACAAATAGTGCACATCTGAACAATAGTCTGGTCCACATTACAGCTTATTGTAATAAAGAACAATCAAGTTACTAAGCAAGCACAGTTTGTCTTTTTTACATTTCATTTTGAGGGGTGTTTCTATGAAAACCATTATGGCAAAAAAACAAAAACAATAATATTTACAAGTAATTGTGCAATATGCATCATATGGTCAGTCACACAAGATACAACAAATATCAATTAGAACTTTAAAGGGTTAGTTCACCCCAAAATGAAAATTCTGTCATTAATTACTCACCCTCATGTCGTTCCAAACCCATACGACCTTCGTTCATCTTCGGAACACAACTTAAGATATTTTTGTTCCCAGGTCCAGAAACGTAGTAAGGACAACGGTAAAACAGTCCATGTGACATCAGTGGCTCAACTTCAGTTTTGTGAAGCTACGAGAATACTTTTTGAGCGCAAAGAAAACAAAAATAACAATTTATTAACAATTCTTCTCCCCCGAGTTACGTTTTCCGCCATTTTGGAGAGTACCCAAGAGTGTAATCGACGTAATCAGCATTGTTTACGTTCGGGGGAGAAAGCGCGCGCATGAACGTAATCTGCATTTTTTATGCTTAGGGGAAAGCGTGCGTATGTGTTGTGATACTCTCTAAAATGGCGGAAAACGTAACTCGGGGGAGAAGAATTGTTGAAAAAATTATGTTATTTTTGTTTTCTTTGTGCTCAAAGTATTCTCGTAGCTTCACAAAACTTAAGTTGAGCCACTGATGTCACATGGACTGTTTTACCGATGTCCTTACTACGTTTCTGGACCTGGGAACATTACAGTTGCGTTGCTGTCTATGCAGGGTCTGAGAACTCTCACATTTCATCAAAAATATCTTAATTTGTGTTCCGAAGATGAACAAAGGTCTTGCGGGTTTGGAACAACATGAGGGTGAGTAATTAATGACAGAATTTTCATTTTTGGGTGAACTATCCCTTTAAGTATGAGTAAATATTAATATTCATGCTTGCCTTTAACACCATTAATTCAAATAACAGGACACAAGTCCTGAGAAAAAAGAAAGCACATACCCAGTGGATTGATCTCCAGATATGTGAAGTAAAGATCCTCATACAAATTGAAGAGACCCACTATGAAGCTTGCCAGCACTCTGCAAAAAAAAAAAAAAAAGGTTATTTTTTAAAGGCACCATGAAATGGTTTGGGCTTTATGGAAAATAGAAATACTGACATTAATTTGTATTATTTACAGATAAGAATACAACTGTAAGATGCAACTTATTGCACTGAGGAAAACATGTCTCAAATGCATTAAACAGCACAAGCCTGTGACAGGAGGGCAAGCCACATTAAAACTGTAGGCTTATGAGTAAGTTTGAAGCACTCACTATATAAAGCACATCTCATGTGTAGGACAATCTGAATAATGCATTTATCCACAGCAGCTCACTCTGTGTTCTTTGTTATTTTTTAAATGTGTTTGCAACATCAATGTATAGTGATATCACATAAACTGTATTGTTGCATCATACGGGGAAAGGCAGTTTCAAATTACTTTCTTTACAGATGTTTTGCACTTTACAGCTACCCCTGCTGTAAAGGCATCATAACAGGGCTCATCAACTCCAGTCCTAGAGGGCCAGTGTCTGGCTGAGTTTAGCTCTAACCCAAACCAAACACTTGAAAAAGCAAATTACGGTGTTCAGGTGGGTTAAATTGGGGTTGGTAGTAAAGTCTGCAGGATCCTGGCCCTCCAGGACTGGATTAGAAAAACCCTGATGGAACGCAAAGTCTAAATACAGTACATAATATATGTTATAATATAATATATTTGTTAGCCATCAATTTGCACATTGTTTGGTGGCCAAGTGTCAACACTGGGCAGGATGTTGGATAATATTTTTGTCCATAAAATACAGAAAATGTTGATTAATCGAAAGAAATAATCAAAAGATTAATCATTTATCAGAAAAAAGTTGTTATAGCCCTAGATGAATAACAGCATTAATTTGTTTGGAAGGAAAAAATTAAATGATTTAATTGAAAAATTATAAGAAGAAGCTTCATACCGACTTGCGGCTTCTACAAAGTGTATGTATATCTTTGCTTAACCTTGAAGCTCGAAGAATTTTCTTTACTTCTGGAACATGGCATCATCAACATTTTTCAGGAAGACGACGACTTTGAAATGTGTAAGTGCAAAAAGTCCAGAAGTAAACTAAAATATAGTTTTAAACTAACAGACATAAAACAAAAAATACATGAAACTGATCAGCATACTTACTCTTTCTTCTCATCTGTAACATGTACAAGTAACTGCTGGGTAACCATGTCCTCCGTGAGTTTCTCATCTATTCCCACCAAAAGTCTCTGGGCTTTTTTGTCCACATCTCCAACGTCCACCCCACCTTCATGATGGAACAGCACATGACTACCTTCCCGGCTTGTGTATACACACACATAAAACTCCTCTTCCTGTGAGAGAGATCAATTACACGCTCAAACAAAGACATGTCAAATCAACCAAATTTCTGAAAATTTCAAAAAGTTCTGGGTTGAAATGTTTTTTTTTAATCTAAAACGTAAAGAAAGATATATACATAAATGATGATGAAAGCCAAATAATTAAATGCCATTCATGAATATTTGGTAATTTATTATTTTGTAAAGCAGTGTCAAAACAACTTTCACCTAGGATTTGAGGTAAAACTCCAAAATTCCTTAGAGAAGTCACAGAATCGTTATTTTACACAGGGCTGTGTATAGGCCATTTCATAATGCTATTCATTGGTTTGGGAAGTGATGTATTTGTTCCTGTAACATTTACGGTTAACTCATTCCAAAAAATATGAATCACTTAAATCATAGCAGTAACATTAACATTAACATAAAACATACACTGTAGCAGTGAAGAGAGATGGCTGGATATGTGTAGTACTAACAATATGTAGCAACAGCGATCTGTCACTCCACATTAAACAACGCCAAAACGGCATTCATTGTTTAAATACTGCAATTCAATGGACAGAATTTGAAATCTGAGACTTTGTTTTTATATTAAAAGTACCAAAGCACAATAGCTTATTGCAATTTATTGGATGGGAAGTACCCTTCAATGTTCCGTCCATTAACTGAAAACAGGCTAGACTAATCGATCCTTGGGATTTAAGAATCGATATCGTTCCGTAAAAATTAGAATTGATTAATATTGAGATATCGATATTTTTTACCCAGCCCCGGGTACATCTGCGCCTACCTGCAGTAGTGAATGCAGTGATGTGCCGCTGTTTTTCTTCATTCGACTGATCATGACATTCAGGTTTTTGTATTTCATATGATTCCTCATTTTAGTGATAACTCATTTTCACTTGACAACGTTTGCGTGCTCAGGATTTATCAGGGATTTACTGCATTTATGGCCAGCAAAGCAACATTTTAGCGAAATTAAAATATTGTTTTTATTTTCCGAATAATTATTGCAGATAGAATATTCGATATAATATATATTAGAATATATATTCACCCCTACTTCTGACATGATTGCTTAAGAAATAAAAAGCTACACACTGCACCAGTTAGGGTTAAAAGAATTGTTGCCAAACATATAACATGCCAGAAACATATTAATCACTGGAAAAATGATTCAAAATGATTTCTAAAATCTGACTTTTTGGGGGGCCAGGCAGTGTATTTAAAAAATGGTAACACTTTACAATAAGGCTCCATTAGTTAATGTTAGTTAATGTATTAACTAACATGAACAAACAATGAACAATACATTTATTACAGTATTTATTAATCGTTGTTAATGTTAATGAAAATACAGTTGTTCATTGTTAGTTCATGTTAATTCACAGTGAGTAAACTAATGTTAACAAGCACAACTTTTGATTTTAATAATGCATTAGTAAATGTTGAAATTAACATTAGCTAAGATTAATAAATGCTGTAGAAGTATTGTTCATTCTTAGTTCATGTTATCTAAAATAGTTAACTAATGAACCTTATTGTAAAGTGTTACCAAAAATATAAATGAAGAGACAGTGTGTAATGTCCCCCAAAAAGATACTAGGGGTGCTCCGATTGATCGGCTACCGATCACTATCGGCCGATAATCACGTTGGGATGTTTGATCGGCGGTCTCTAAAAAGGCCGATCTCAAAAAAACGATCTCAAGCTGATGACGCACCTGCCGAGGTTTGGCACGACATGCAGCGGCACTGCCTCAGTCTCTGTCCGGCATGGGTAAAATAATTATAATGCTGAAGGTGAAGTACTCACCTTATATATTTCTTCATTAAATAACTTATAAAGTAATTTGAAAACCTTGTGTGAGATGTAATTTCACAAACAGCGTGAGTGAATCACCATGTGCGCTCTCTCTCAAAATACGCAAAGGCTTCAAATCACCATCGCGTCTGTCTATAAGCGAGCTGCACGCTGCACAGTTGACACAGGAATTGTCATAGACCGTGCGCTCATGCACACTCGCAGCGCACACACACAATGCCAGGCTCACATTACTCTGTTTGCAGTGCGAATGTAGTGCATATTTTTTCCGCGCTCATGTTAACAGATTAATAAAGCGTGCACAATGCACACGGTTGCTGTCCGGCAGTGCGTTCCAGTAGCGGTGCGTCTGCAGCAGTGCAGAGATCGTTTCCACACCCAGTCTATTTTTGCTGCGCTGCAAACGCTGAATTAAAGTAACAGCGCATTTTTTGCAGTAAATATGAACATGGATTGACACGAAAGTGTGGTAATTACACCATAAATGCATATTATTAAAGTCTACTGTTTCACAGTCAACACATATGGCTTTTTGGCTAGGTTTAAATGAAAAGAGCACTTTTAGATAAACAAGGCAATAATAGATGGCACTCGTGGTGGAGGTAGGAAAACAAAGTTCTTTATGAACCGAAGGATTGCTTGTAATAAAGATTTCAATGCAAAAGAAAAGGCAGTAGAGCTGACTATTTCTGTCAATGGTAAGTTTGTGATAATGTAAGAAAAGTAGTTTAAATGTTTTGCCACTTGCTTGAGCAAATGAATATATAAGTAAATGCAAAAGTAAAAAGCACTGAATAATGTGTTGCTTATATTTATTGCATTTAAACATGTCTGTGAAAGATTGTATTACTGTACTGTGTAAAAAAAGAATTGCAATGCTGAAAAAGCATTTTCAGTGACAATGTTTGGATTTGAAATCAAAATAATGGATAAATGTTGTGTTTGTGGTAAACAGCCACGGATTAGTAGCGGACTCCTGTGTGAAAGCACAGTCCGTGCTGCTTCCCCTCTCACAAGAATCACTTAAGAGGTTTTCAAAACCTCTTAAGTGAGAGAGGAAAAATAACCCATTTTCAAAAATGAAATTCAGGCCTCGAATAAATGTCTAAAAATCCTGATTGGAGTATCACTATAAATAGTTATAAATGATAAAAAGAAGTCTTTTAAAAGATCGGTATCGGTGATCGGTATCGGCAGATACTGCTTTCTGTGATCGGCGATCGGCCTCCAAAATCCTGATCGGAGCACCCCTAAAAGATACTGATAAAGATAAAATAGAACTGAATTTGTAATACCTGTAAGTGAGGCACAAACGGCTCAATGAGGAAGTTCTTTAAGATTCCTTTTGCCTTCCCAATCTGAGGAACAGGAAAAAAAAAACACTTTCCATCAAATGTCCAATTATTTTTTATAAAAACTTTAAATTGTATTAAACTATTTTTTATTAAAATAGGTTTAGACAGGTTTCATGAAGTTAAAATTTATACCACCTAAATAGAAATGCAGCAAGCCCTTAGAATCATGTCATCACATAGTTATTCTGTTTTAATTTTAATTCCTAGTAACAAAACACTGGTTTCAGTGCAGAAGAGTACAATACTGGCTAATTTGGTTATTTAAAAGCATTTCATTAAAATATCTGGATTAAGTTGTCCAAGATTACTGTGTGTTCTTGTGTTCATTGGAAAGGGCAGATGTATTGATTCAGTTGGCGATGGGCTGGCAATAGGGCCGCACGTGATGGAGATTTACCGCTGATTACAGAACCGGCTTTCTGACAAGATGCGCATTAAATATCGCATGCGATTTATCGTGCAGCCCTAGCTGGCAACATGTCAGCAAAGTAAAAAGGTTTTTGATGATTATAGAGAATCTCTGAAACTTTATAAGATCAAGGTTGTTGCGTGATTCACAGTTGTTGTTTTTAATTATTTCATGCTCTCAATTTTGTTTTCAGTGTCAAAAGTTTGAATGTAAAAACAATTTATTTAATTTTACCTGCAAAGTGGCTCTGCTGCATGGATTAAATCTATATAAATGTCTGCCAGAAAAAGTCACATCACATTTGTTTAAAGCATGTTTCAGTGTTTTGTAGTTACAGTGGAATAAACTGTTAGTTACCTGCTTGTAACATAAAAGCTAGGGGTATAGTGAAATTACATAATTAATGAACTTGAATGGCAAATAACAGTTACTCCAAGTAGATACAAATATAAACTTTTTAAAAGGCCTACTGTGATTTCTGTCATCAGATTAGATTTCAGCCATTCCTGGACCCCCTCAAGGTTCAGGTCAACTGCCACCAATCCCAGCTTCCCCCTGCGTTTGATCAGCTGATCTGGCTTCACAACCAACCTCTGCAAGGAGCGATAGACAAATATATTACATTGAAAACAGTGCAGTATTACAGATCAGAAAACCAAGACATATACTCACTTCTGTTAGCAGCCACGGATGGTCCTGCTGAAGGCGGTTCCAGTCAGTGTCTGCAGTGACGGTGGCGCAGCAGAAACGGTTTTGCACGGCTGCTGTGGTGCAGATGTATTTATACAGGAACTCTTTTCCTGTCTGCTCAGAAATGGCCTTAGCAGACATCACAGCTGAGAACACTACCTATAGAAAGACAGAAAAAAATTAAGGCTTCTACAAACTTGAGCTGAAACTGCAAATCCACTGATTTCAATTAGAATGGCCCAGCAACATATGGCACATTTGATATGATTTCATTAGCGTCACTCATGCATGATTGTGAAGTCTGTGAGACTATTGGCTGTGATGTTTGCCTTAAGCATCTTGAGCATTCCTATTCATCAAATGTTCTGTTGTCTGTAGAATAAACTTTTACATATTAAACTCCTAAACTTAACAAGTTTAAACTCTTAAACTTATTTATCTAAGCATCAGAGTACATGAGTCAACTAGCATGGAGAGGAAAGAAAACTAAAGCAGGCCAGACTGAAAAAACAATAAAAAAAAAGCTTTGGTGACCCAGCTGATTAAAAGACAAACTCTCCATCAAACTGAAGAAACTGGGCATTGTGGCTTAAAGGACTTTAGTATTGATGGGTCTTTTTCTTATAATAACTTCATGCACTGGGCAGGAAAAGTGTTTTAGAAAAGTTATGCAAACTACCAAGGCCTCTTTAGAAGGCATCTAATTTTAACAAAGGTGTACAAGGATTGATTAAAGGAACTGTGAAAACCTTAGAGTTATTTGGCAAAGATACCTTAATAGCGACATTGGTAAGAACACATGGAATAGAGATTTGTCCAACAGTGGGAGGTATATAAAGGAAGCAAAAGGTAAATTCATTCAGTATTTTATCCAGGTTTTACACATGCATTACTACACCTGTTTATACACGCCAATATAAAACGGGTAGTTTGAACAGTGATATATTCTGAAAATATATACAAGAAACCGGCACATTCGTGCTCTCTAAGAGCGGACAAAGATTCAGCCTTTTCAGGAAGTTCTGTTGACATATCTTGGGAGATGGTCGGGATTTGACCTACCACTTCCACAGAGTGGTCTTTCAGGAGATAAAACTGAGAATACTAACAATGAGTCTTCCCTTATTACTGTAGAAATAGTCACAGTAGCACAGCAGATACTTACATACTTGTAAAGGTACCTCCTACACTTAAAATGTGGACTGAAGTAGGGCTGCACGATAAATCGCATGCGATATTTAACACGCAT